ACAGTAAATTAGGGTTAACATGTAACTACAGAGTGTAAACATGCACTTCTATTCAGCAAAATCATTAAAATCCTAAAAATGAGTTAATATCTTCCCAAGTTTTAATACCAGTAGTATATGAAAAGGGAGCATTGTGACAGGCTTTGGAGCTGTAAGCATGACGGATGGTGCATGGGATGTTATAAATGATTAACCAGCCCATTATAGAGGCAAAGAGCTTGTCAAAGCCCAGTGTGTGCTCAGCAACAGGGTCCCCCCTAATTAACAAACGCTGACAGATGAAGAAGTTACATACACATTGCCATGGTCATGGGTCAAGGAAACTTCTCATTAATTATTCAGACCAATAGAGGAGAAAAAAAACAAGGAAGGTGGCATACTGTAGAAGCATGGTTGTGTTATGATGAGCAAGACTGATGAGGCTCAGACAGCTGTAGTGAACTCTTTAATGAAGGACTGGGTGTGTTGGGTGGATATTTAAGCCTTAAAAAATGTAGTCAATGCTTTAATCATACATCAATATAGTAGTTTAATGTGCTAATAACATTGCAGTTTCCACCTTGACAATACAATTACAGGTAAAACAAATGATTTATGCAATTTTATTTATCTTTATTATCTATTAATCTGTTTATTAAATTGTTTGGTCCATTAAATGACAGAAAAAGGTCCTTCACAATTTCCTGAAAGCCCAAGTTTTATATCATAGAATTCAAAGAAAACCAGCAAACACTCAAACATTTGAGACGCAGAAAACAATGAATTTGTGTATTTTTTGTTTGAAAATAAAAGATTGATAATCCAAACAGCTGCATGACTAATCAAACAACCAACCAATCATTTCACCTCTAGATATCTCCTTCTCTTCCATTTTCTGCAAGACTTCAACAACGATGATTTCATCTGCAAGTCGGACCTGGAGAAGACGCTGAACAAACTGACCCGTAATGAGCTGACAGAAGACGAGGTGAGGATGGTGTGTGAGAAGGTGATTGATGAGACTGACCTGGACAACGACGGACGTCTGTCACTGGAGGACTTCCAGCACATGATTGTTCGAGCTCCAGACTTCCTCAGGTAGGCCAATTAGAACCATTTACGTAAGATATAATGAAGAGTAAACCCACCTACCTCATTTATCAATGATTGTAATTTTATGTCCACTTATCTCCTATCTTTACTTACAAAGCAGAACTAATTTAATTTCTGTTCACAGCACCTTCCACATAAGGATATAAAGAAATGAAGCAATCGTGCATTTCTTAATTGGAAACAGCACATAAGGATGGACTTGTGATACTGCAGGGTATCTGGAAAGTGGAGGAATCCTGACATCTCAACCAAAAACCACAACTCATATTGTCAATGTCTAGTTTTTTGCTTTTTGTGTTATATTTTGTAAAAAGAAAATCTGTAACCAAAAACATTCTGATCATCATCAGAGATCAAACATTTAGCATCCAGAGTAAATACGGTAAGTAAATCTGAATTCTCATCTTTCATTGTAACATTATTAACAGGTTGGATTTGTGTGACTTGTACCAACATACTCTGTTTTTCTTATATTACTGCAAATGTAGAAATAGCAGCAGTCCTGGTGTGACTGTAGGTCTATCAGCAGGTGGTGGCATCAACCAATCCATCAAGCCAAGGCTCATTAGTTATGACCATCAACAGTAGATTTGTGTTTTGTATCTAAAGGGGTTCAGTTACACCAGACTATAAAAGAAACACATGCCAGAATATTCCAGTGGGTCATAGTGGGCCAATAAAAGGAGAGCCATTTGTCATGAAAGCTCATTGTGGGAGCACAGGGGTCATCTGACAGTCAGCCAATAAAAAGACAGTGAATGTGAAGTTTTATAATCTCATTTTATTAAATCAAAAGTACACATATCTACAAATTGTAGATACATTTTCATATGGGTTTAGAAAGTACAGTACAATTTAAGTAGATCTCTTTTTTTTTTCAATGTGATATTTACAATGGTATTTTTTTTCCCACTTTTTTTTTCTTTCAAAATGTATTATTCTCCCTGTATACTTCACAAATCGATGGAATGAAAATATGGCTGTAAAAAGGGATGTACAGTATATTATAACATGATAGGAATCTTAAGAAAAGGATATGATTTAAAAACAAAATCAAAAAAGAGGGAGTATCATTTGAGCTGGAAATGATACAGCTTGATTCCCACAAACGTCTGCTTCCTATGTTTCTGTTTGACTTAAAGCTACAGCATGACTCGAATGAGACAAAACAGCACTACCTCCAACAACCTTCAACATCCAGACTCTTCCTACTTTATCTCGCCATCATTACAAGTTTCACTCGCGCTGATGTAGCAATGCCATTTCTACAAACAAGAGCATGTGTGTGAGCATGAGTTTTTGGCTCAGTGAATAACACAAAACAAAAAGAACAAAAAACAAAGCCCATACATTCAACTGTACAGGTCTACAAGTATGTCTGAAAATTACATTACAGAAATATGCACAGGTCCAAGATTCACAATGCATAGCTCACCTATGACAGAACTGAGTATCAGCGGTTAAGACAAATGGCTATGGTAGTTATGAGGTCCCAAATTATTTGATATTAAAAAATAAACATAAAAAAACAAAGCAAAAAACAAGGTGCAGGCAAGCAAAAGCAGATCCTCCCTTTGATATTGTGCATATAGGAGTCTGATTTTCAGACTAGTAACAAATGCAGTAGGGAAACACGAGGAACAATGGAAATAGATTGAGACTCAACATCAATGTTAAACAGTGGGTACATGTTCAGACTGCACACGTCTAGTTCACTGTGGCTTGCATTCTTAATTAAATACTGATTAAAATTTGAGTTCAGGTGGTCACATATAATGCATACTGTGCCTCTGGCGCCACCTAGCTGTCAAACTAAAGGGCCACAATCAAACACAAACATGATACAATATACAATAATACTAACAGGACCACCTTTCAGTTTACGTCAAGCCAGTGTTCATGTGATAAGCCAAGAAAGAAAAATCACTTTTAAACTACAATTTGGCAGGGCGGTAGCATAGAAACAGAGGCTTGCAAATTCTTTTTCCTTTTTGTAAATATATATGTATATATAGCCATTAAAGTACATTAGGGCAATGTTTTTCAGTGAACTGATACCAGGACAGTGGATCACTAGCAGTGACATAGCAAAGGAGATCAAGTCATTTATAAGTAGGTGTAGTAAAATTATGCCCATTATACTACCAAGACTCAATAGATCAAAACAATTATAAGTAAGTAATCGTATTGCAAAACTATCACTTGGCACAGACTACACACAAAACACGACTTACTGGTAAAGTGCAAGGAGAGCTGCATGGATAGCAGGAGAGGGGGCTTACAGTGCGAAACTTCATTTTGACTTTTTAATTGCTGATCGAATAACCGGAGACGTCATTTAGCTTAACTGTGAATCAGAGCTGCTACAACACCTTCACATCAAAATAAAAAGGCAACACTTTAAATTCATCGAAGTAGGAATCATTTTAAGTCAATTTTAAAGCAGAAATACTAGTTAACCAGCTCCTCAAGTGTGAGGATTTGCTGGTTTTCTTTTTCTTATTCGATCGTTAATTGATGTTTACAGGTTTTGGACGAAACAAGATATTTGAAGAGGCCACTTTAGACTTTAGGAAACAGGCATTTTCCCCTATTTTCAGATGTTTAATAGACCAAACAATGAATCAAGAAAAAAGTGGCATAATAATTCATTATAACAGTTAATTGCAGCCCCATTTTATTGGACTGTACTTTTTGTGGAGGATTATTTAACACCTACAAATGGGTAATAGTGCAGCGTTTGCAAATTTTCACTTTCGCACCACAATGTCCTCTCTTGCAGGTTACGACAGGAAACACCACACCAGTGTCTTGCTGATAATTTGATGACAGAACTAAACCTCAGAGGAACAAATTCTGTTTGTTGTATGCATTTTTAAGTTTTGTGTTGCCATGCCTTCAAGCACCTGAAAGCTATTGCAGAAAATGTTAAAAGAAAAAGAAAAAAGCGTTGGAGGCAGTGAGTACTGATCGGTGCAAGATGAAACACGCATTTCTAGTCACATCAAATGATTGTCAAGGACTGCATGCTAAGAGCAGAACTCACATCCAGTTCCTCTCTGATCCTTGACTGCCTTATCTGTGATATGACTCACTCAACTGCTGAAATGAAAATGAAAGCATGTGCAACTCTGTTTCACCCAAGTTCAAGCCTTTCAGTCTCTAGTTGACATTTATAACTTCAAGGGGGAAAGAGCACTAATAAAAATAGATCTAGATATCATGTCTGTATTTGCAATCCCAAAACGTTGACATTAACGTAATGATTTCTCATCCTCGGTTGTGCTACCGGCTGTGTGAAATTTAAGTGCGCAGTACAAAGAGACTAAACATCAGAAGTAAGAGCCTGTCTTTTGTGTGATAAGGAACATCTGGAAAATGCTCCTGGTTGAGTCCTCGACCAGCCAAGCACTCTGACCCATGAAAACAACAGATCTCTTTAAAATGGAAGAGATGCACCATTGGAAGCTTTCCGAAGAGGAAGAGAAGAAGGGAAGTCTTCGGCTTACTGGGAATATAATGGTTTGTGTGGACTGGAGGGGGGGAGGGCAGGCCATGGATGGGTAGAAAGAAGGAAGAGGAAGGAAGTGCTAAGAGCAAGCACAGTCCATTTTTGTCCAGCCAGCTGGCAGCCAGTGTCGAAGGCCTCGGTCCTCAGAGTAGGCTACAGCGGAAGAAGCTGGTCTTTTTCTGAGGCTCTGAGATCTTGACTCCATGACTGCTTCCCTGTGGTGTGTTGCCCTCCTGCAAACATGTCAAATAATGTCATGTAGAACTGTTCAGACCTGTTGCCTCAGTGGCTGCTTTTATGTGATTCACTAACTTTCTATGCACTCAACTCCTCATCTACTTTTCCACAATCAGAGTCACACTGCTATTGATTGTGAGAAGTTTGAAACCTGAATAACATGTTTTAAATTATGAAATATTTAAGAGCTGCTGAAAAGTCATTATTAGATAATTTTCTCACAATGTGAAATACTAGGTTGTATTATAAAAAGAGTTCTTACCAATTTTGTGTCCATTTTTGATTTGATGTCTCTGGCGAGTGTCAAAAATGCCTGTGAACCAGAACAAATGTACACGTTTGTATCACAGTGACGACATATTATCTGTTAAACATGTTATAATGAGGAGGGTAAGTGGCTGCTTACATTTTCCACATTGATGTTGGCCTTTGCACTCGTCTCCATGAACTTTATCCCATACTCTAACGCAAGCTGAAAGAAAACGTGAGAAAATTACATTTAAATTACATTTTAGCAAGTCTGTTAACACATTTTACTTTAAATACCAGTGTAAATGATTATAAAATATAACCCAATGCCAACATTCTCACCTTCTCCCCCCTGTCTTTGGACACCTGCCGCTTGTCATTGATGTCACACTTGTTGCCAAGGACCATCTTCTCAACATCAGCTGATGCATGCTGGATCAAGAGAAGACAAATTTAATAACAACAATGCACCACAAACTTGAAGAGACAGCAAGTGTGTAAAGGAGAGTCTATTTGGGCCAGTAACTACCTCCTCTATGTTCCTTATCCAGTTCTTGATATTTTCAAAAGACTTCTCGTTGGTGATGTCGTAGACAAGCATGATGCCCTGTAAAGAAGAGTAAATGTTAACAGCGTCAACAGAGCTTGAGCCAGAAACGTGGGTTTATGTTACATTCGTCTGAAAAGGCACCCACCATTGCTCCTCTGTAGTAGGCTGTTGTGATTGTTCGGAAGCGCTCCTGGCCGGCCGTATCCCTGCAAATAAAATAAAAAACACCAGAATTGTTACCATGTCAAAATGTCATATATTAGAAAGTTTAAAAATACATATGAAATGCCTTTAAGATGAATGCTTCAATAGCTCATGAAAGAAAGCCTCCATAAAGTAGGACAGGTCTGTAGGTAAGGAGGTTTGGGAGGTTTGGATATTGGTTTTGGACATTTTCTGACATGTTAGTACAGCCGGGAGGAATAAAGCTTTGGCCAATAGAGAGGAAGGCATTACATTCATTGTACTGTATAAGCTACACAACCTATAAATATGATACTTAAAGTTAAATAAACTAAATTACAATCATTTTTTGCATCACATTTAAAAAATATAACTACTTAATAATAATAATAATAATAATTCACAGTACGACCTGTGTGCACCTTGCCTTAAATAAAGTGTGTCCCATTTATACTTCATCAGCCAAATATTGATAAAACACGGCCACAATGTCACACATGTCCTGCATTAAAAAAAAAAAAGAATTAAGATAAACTTACCATATCTGTAACTTTATCTTCTTGCCGTCAAGCTCTATTGTCCTAATCTTGAAATCAATGCCTGCAGGGATAAAGAAGGATCATGAAATGTCAATCATAACGTTAAGTTAGCTTCCTAGCTTGGTATACCTGTCAGTGTCAGCCAACAATAAAAATAAAAAAAAGGAACTTTTAGACTGAGAATAAAAGGCGACTCGACTTCTTGTCAAGAAATGCGATAGTAACATGTGCGTGAAAGAAAAACGGCGCTTTTATAAGGCTTAAATTAATACGATATAGCGCGCTACATATGAGGCTTTCCGGTGTCTTACCAGGATGTACACGGGGCCTAGTGGCTAACCTTAGAGCTAATCGGCCAACAGCTAACCGGCATGACACAAACATTTCTAATCATACATTAGCCTCATGCAAAACACACAGGTAACGGCGTTTCCCCCTTGTCATCTCTTCTGAACAAGTTAAACACATCCACGATACGCGAAATAACAACATAATCTATATTGACGACAAAGAGAAACTACTTCCAGACGCGAGCATTCCAGCGAGTAGACGGAGTCTCGCACACAGCCCATTGGCGTATTGTAAACAGAGAGAAAGACATATTTTAACATTTAATAAAAACAGCGTACCTATAGTTGAGATAAACGTGGAGTTGAAGGCGTCTTCTGAAAACCTGAACAGGACACAGGTCTTCCCGACACCGGAGTCGCCGATTAACAGTAATTTAAACAAATAGTCGTATGTCTTCGCCATACTTGATATTATTGCGGAAATCCCGCCCGGCGAAGCAGTGATGAGTGTGTGCAGGAACGACGCCCCCTGGTGGCTCGGAATCCAACAGCTGGTTATAAGTGACTGAGACCGGTGGGCGTGTACTACCTTCACTAAGACCACGTTCAGACTGCAGGCAAAAGTGGCCCAAATCTGATTTTTTTTGGGGGGTGGGGTCAAGTGACCAGGTCAGACGTGCCAGGACTTCTCCAGAGCTTATGTTTTAGTAATGCTGAAACACTCAAACCCAGCCCAGATCTTATTTTTTATCAAGAGTCATTGATTTTATGGTGGTGGCACCTAATCCAATATGTGAGGTCCTGAAATTCCAGACCCCAGGTTCTCGGTATTTTCCTTCAATGTGAGCGCCCCCGCAAGTGTGAACAAAGCGCCAAGGGCCGGATTTTGAGTTGTGCAAAAGGTTTCCCCGTTTTGTTACGTCAATCCTGTCATGGTCGGGAGAGTTGATGTGCAGACCTAATTTTTAATGCTCGCGTCCATATGTCTGCAACCAACTCCTGAGCCTTCGGCTTCTCCGCATTCACACAGACCATCCGTACCGTGAAATCTGCAGCCATAACCAGCTCCCTTGT